GTATACCTCTTCCAGAGGAAGGTCATTGTCACTAAAGAAAGAAGATTCAACTAAGGCAATGTAGTGGAGAATACTCAAATTTATTGAAGGTAAAATTAGAAAAAATATATAGAAAATTATTGTTTAGACACGCCCAAGTACGTTCACCAGATAAATTGTGGTTGCCGCTTTTTTTTTTTTGATTCACAATCACCGTATGTTGTAGTGATACATGAAGGAATATCGACTTGGCTTTCTTATTCGTGATTTCTTAAATTTTTGTGAACGAACAATCATACGGAGTTGGCACAGTCTTTTTCCACCAAAACTCTTTGATGTTTTTTGTGAGATGCAGGATTTTGGAGCTGTGCAAATAATAAAGTCTTACCGCAAGGATTTTTACATTCTTATCTTTTCACAAACGGTCACAAGATTTGGCCGGGTACCGAATTGATCTTCAATGCAACGAATCTCGACCCATGTGAATCAAGCTGTTCGCTCATGCCAGGAACTATAGAAAAATGACAAAGGAAAACTATTGAAGTAGCCGATACCCGAATTATATTGCATCTAGAGCATTGTGTACAAGAAAATCAATATTAAGTATTGATATTTTCTTCTGACACAGATATTGTTCTACTTGCCTTATACATCATCATCATAGTTTGGCTGAAAAAGGATTACAGGTAATTCATTGCAAATTTTCTCTGTAATTTGCATAAAGTTTCTTCAATAATCTATCGAATATTTTTCCAGAAACGCTGGATGGCAGCCGGATCAGGTGGAACTAAGAAGAAAATTTCGATTTCCCTACTTGCCTTGCTTCATGAGCAAGAAAAATGTAGCATTGTCCTTGCTTTACATCACTTGACTTTTTCTGATTACACCAGTAAAGGGAGGAGGGGCAAAAAAGCTGCATTGAGGGCAAATCCACAAAAATATCTTACACGATTTGCTTCAGGTAATTATGAATTGTCCAGACATTATCAAACTTATGAAAAAGGATTAAAAAGCTATGGGACATTTTTTTAATCTCTTCATATTATGTGGTAGACATGACTGACGTGGGGTATCGCAATCGATACAAAATGCAGAGGAGTACTTGGTTCAAGTTTGCAAAAAGGATTCTCGTTATACTACGTTCGATGATCTACATTACTGGACTCATCATCATACAAAATCTAGCGTATCCCTGTTGCCACCGACTAGTCAATCTATGAAATTGCATATCTCCCGGGCTATGTACATAACATATTTATAGGTGAATTGTCTCAACCAGAAGTTTATTGAGATGGATCCTCAGTCTTTTGATTATTCTGAAGAACAAGGCACAGTAGTAACGAAAAAGTAACTTCTCTTTTGCTCTTATGCACGAGCTCCCTCCTAATTGTACCTGTCGAAAATGTGCTCGTGAAAGTTGCATCTGTGTGATTAACAAGTTATCTTGTATTTCTTTCTGTAAATGTTGTATCCAAGACACCTGTAAAAATCGGTATGATGTGCAATGAACGATCAAGTTTTAGTGAAGGATCACTAATCATTACGACAATGATAAATATCATTATTGTTATGGTTGTTGTTGTTATTGTTATTAGTTATGATTAACATATTTTGTGATATCCAGAATTGTACTAATAAGAAAAATATTTTCTGAAATGTGATTGGAATTTTCAGGGTTTGATAGTACGATTTTTGATAAATATTTAGAGCACTGCTTATTTGCAAAAAAAAAGTTATATGCAAATAATGATCGGTTGTGCATGCATGTATCAATATTGAGAAAACTAATTTTTTATTCAAATAAGTTGCAAATTAAGAGTTGTCGTTGAGCCCCACCCAAAGGCAAACTTTGACATAAAACGTACGATAGTAAAAACCTCAAATCGCGGCAAAAATTGTGATTTTTCTAGAAATGACACAACACTCTACTCATTGTCTTTCTACGAAACTTTTTTGTTTGGACTTTTTTGTCACGGTTAGGTGTATGAGGACACAATAATAACTCGTGGTTGTGGAATATAAAGGCATTGTATTTATCGCAGAGAGATGTGTTTACATCGAATATATAAATCGGACTGAATTCAACTGAGCTGACTGACTGACTGTTTCAATTGGATTCAACTGAGCTGTTCGTCGGGGAGCGTGCAAATTTAAATCCCTTCTGTCATCGAAGGTTCGAGAATTGTCCCGAAATTTCGTGAGGGACAAGGATAGGTTGATCTTTGTCTCGAACGCAAACGTGTAAAATGTTCGAGACGCGTTAAATCCAAACCGAAATCATTAATCTGTGGTGGCTCGCGCCACAGTTTCATCTTCGAAACTATTTTGGGCATTAATTTTGCCTTAGAAGCCTAAAAGGATGAGCCACTTGAAGCGCTGAAGGAGATATGAAACCTTGTCAAGTGGAAACGGTCACTTTTGTTTTCCGCAAAAACGACAGATTTCAAAAAAGCAATACGAATGTATTTTTAAGATTTTAAATAATATTCTTTACTCCAACCTTTTTTCTATGCGAATCAACATGGCGGCGATAAACGCATTTAAACAATTGGATAGCTGATAACTTTTCAATGCTTGTGATGTATTGATATTGTTGCACTTATTTTTATTGTGGTTACTCACATAATTTGTAATTTTTTAAATTATATTCATAGAACAAAGGTTCTTAGGGGCGATGTGATTCTCATTCCTGGGGTTCAGTAATGTGATTGTTAATAACTATTTATGGCCCTGCTTATTTGTAAAAACAAGTTATATACGAATAATCATTGATTATGTATGTATTAATTATTTTAAAAAATCATTTTATATTGAAAATTCATTGTAAAACAGGGCACTCTTTAAGGTTGTTGTCGCGAGAGAGTCACACTTGAAATTTTCCACGCTTTGAGCTGGTATCCTGCTAAACGAAGAACCCGTGTTAAAACACAAAATTTTGCTGATGTACAGTTCGACTTGGCTCACACATACATGAATGTACTATACATGAATACGTGCGCATACAGCTAACGCCGAATGGTGTCGATCGTGGCAACCACGCGCAGTGTATCTCTCTTCGTATGACTCCTAACCTGCTAGAATTCGTGGTCTATGTTAATAGTGAGTGTTATAAAATCATTGGCAAACATGTCGAATCGGCAGAGGCACAAAGGGAGGTTTATGAAAGCGCATGTATTGAATAAACAGCGAAATTTTGCTTCGAAGATGGTGCGTGCCAAAGAAAACCAAAAACTTCAAGACACTGCTGCAAATCCAAGTCAGGTTGAAGGAGAGAATGAAAAAACGAATATTTGCTCAGGAAGGAGAATTGTTGAGCTTTCAGTCCTTGGCGAACATTTAAACTGTAGTTGTAAAGAAATACTATCATTAGAAAATGTTGAGAATGAAAAACGAATGGGATTGAATTCCATCCTCTTCTGGAATCCATTCTCTGGAAATTAGTGGTAATTTCCATGAAGCACTATTTGATGTTGAAGTTTTAGAAACATTGTCAGAGAAATTAATAACCAAGGAACAATTATTCCTTGCAAAAAAGTCGTACTTGGAGTGTATCGTATCGGAAATTACCAAAGAAAAAGCATTGACATTATTACTGTTGTTTTGTTGTTGTTTTTTAAAAAAGTAAAAACAATGAAACTGCATTTAACATGTAAAATTCAAAAAAATTCATCTTAAGTTTGAGATGGTCAATTGCAATTATAATGGGCTTATTTTACAGCTGATTTCTAGAGCGCTCTACGATAAAAATAAATAAAAACTGTCGAAAAAAAAAGTGACACGACAACTACCTTAAGCGCCTCAGAGAGGCAAACCTCGATAGAGCACGTACATTATTCAATTACTCAAAAATGGATCTTTTTTTAAAAATAAAGAAACACTCCCGTCATTGTATTTCTGTGAAACTGTTTTGTTTAAACTTTTTTCATCTCCGAGATTATTCTGGTCATTAATTTTGCATCAGAAGCCCGAACGGGTGAGCCACTCAAAGGACTAGAGGAGATTGCATACCTGTCCAGTATAAATTTTCATATTTTCTCCAAAAATCAACGGATTTAAAACAATCAAAAACGGTTGTATTTTTAGGATTCCAAAGAATATCTTTTACTTCAAGCTTTTTTTTTATACGAATCAAAATGGCGGCAATAAACGTATTTAAACAATCAAATTGCCAATAACTATTGAATGCCTAACTTACTCGTAAAAAAAATTACTTATTCGGTTTTAGGACATCAAATTACATAAAGTGCCCAAGTTTCAAGACTTTACATCGATTTTATACCTTTTGGCCTCAGCGTATTGACTACTTAAGGAGAAAATGTTTGATTCATATTTTGTAAGCCGAATGACGAACATTTTTCTGGACAACTAGTGATAACTTCATGTAATGTACAGTGAACTCACCAATAGTCCATATGCTAGGCCCCCTGCCTGTATGCACTGGTATGTCCGGGGGATTTTATGGTGTTTTTTTATGCTTTTGGGGGTGAGGAATCCGAATCCGTCAGTGTTTTTGGCCTAAAGTTGTGCACACCCATTGTTATTAACAATTTTTGGGTACTTTTTGCACAAAATCGGCGTTTTTGCGATAACCATGATATTTATCGTAAAAATCCCCTCTACCAACTTTCTTCCCTACATTCCAACGAACAATTTCGTTTTTGATTTTTTTAAATCGGATAATTAGGTCGGTAGTTATGCTCATTTGTTTATAAGCGCCGCGCGCTACGTCGTCCACCGGTCGCGCGCACCTCCACTCACCAAAAATCTCTCATTTTCCCTACGGGCAGCGGAGAAATAAACGAAATAATATGATTATTTCATTTATTTGTTCATTGTCAACCCCGAGATACGTTATTTATCGTTGCAAGCACATCCTTAATATTCAGTACGTTACCACAAATGCAGTATAATCCTATTCCTATTGACTCTTCTACTTTTCAAAGATGGGATCCTCATAGAATTTGATGGGTAACATGATTAGTGGTTCAGGGAGAGAATCTGCAAATAAAAATTTGATAAATTTTGTTCAAATAAATTAATATAATTTTTCAATCTTTTTTTATTGGGTTCCCACAAACATGCATCGAACAAACACAATAAGAAATGCAGGGAACGCCTTTGCTGCGACACATGCAAGTCATTCGTGCACATGCTTTACAATTGTAACTTGAAATAAGTTCTGAAATTGGTGGGAAGAAAATTTTGACAGAAATTGGCTTCAAGCTGCCATTTTCCACACTGAACCCAAAGAGAGTGGCCTCCAATTTTTCTCTGCTTCTATCAAGACACTTTAGCTGCTCATAAGTGACATAAAAGGCACGCAAAATGTGAAGTCGAATCGATGCAGAAGTTGGAGGCAATTCAGAAATAGAAAATTTTGAGGAATAATGGTAGGCCCAGCACCGCAACTCGTCAAATGTTCTCCAAGATGAATCTGTTTTCCATGTCTGTATCAAATGGTCTTCAGCATCGCGTATTGACTCCTCAATATCTTCAGTGGAAATACCTACATAGGAAGAAGGAAAATGTGAATTGGAGGTGAAAAACTTAAGTTTGTATGTGTGATTCATTAGTGAGAAGGTGAAACATAGCAGTAAGAAAATATTCGCATATCCGAAAAAAAATATTGATCAGAAGATCTGACTTGCTTCAATCCACCGCCTCGTTATTGAATCAATTGTGAGAGAAGAGTTATAAGGGATGAAATGATAGTTTACCGCATGCAAACCGAGATAAATATTTTTCTGGGTTGGCTTTCAATGCACATTACTCTCCCCTTCCAACTTTACTTGTGTAGTCAGAGCCAGTTAGATGATGCATAGCTGGGAGGACTTGACATAAATCAGATGGAGTTCGAGAAGAAACAATGTGAAGAGGTACAGTCCTTTTCGTCAACCCAGATCCAACAGTCATCCAGAGTTCCTTAATTCGATTCGGAAGACAATAGTTATTTGACATAACTAAAGAGCACCACGATAATTAATGAAGTAAAAAAAACTCACCACCAAGTCGTTTTCTTTGAAAAATCCATAGTAATGAAGAACAAGAACGAAAACATCAGTATCACACGATAATATGAAAATTTTCTTTCGCCTTTGCCTCACAGCATGATCAATGTGCACGAAGATCCATACATCAGCTTCTTCGATGTCCTTTGTCATTAACATGGCAACCGATTCCATAGATAGATGTTTGTAAGATAGAGGTGGGTCTTCATCTGTTGCACTGAAAATTACTTGCACCCCAGGCCATACTGACTCGCAATTTTCCAATATGTAAGCGCTTAAGAATTGCTGAATTTTTATTTTATTGTTTTTATTACTCCAAAATTAATCTGGAATGACTGGGAGTTTGATATCTCCAGATATTTCATGCATTGTAATGGACTTAGATGATGAACCTCGACGACAACGTTCTGCAGACTTTGGAGATTGATCCCAGTAAGAATAAAAAACGAAGTCAATTTGGGTAAACGGAATTGTTGTTGCTGAAGTTAATGATTTGCAAAATTGGTCAGCTAAATCCTTGAATGTATCTTTCTTATTCCATTTTAATTTTTATAAATTCAGCATGACATCGACAACGGCAGTTAGTTCGTCAGAATCTGGCGATAAACTCCATTTCTCATCTCCTAATACCGTAATTCATTGGTGAGCAGTCCTTTACTCTTCTCTTTTTTCAACGTCCGTCTCGAATAAAGCACTATAATCAGAGAATTCATAGGAAAACAGCTTATCCATAGAATAATTTCTTTCTTTTGCTAAATCGATCATACGCTGGGCCGATTTAGTATCCTTAAGGAGTGATTTTGGGGTGCTCTTCGGGGAATTCTTCTCGATCTGTTGGAAAGCTGAGAAATTGACTCGTGGAATCGTGGACGAGATTGAAACGGATTTTTTCTGGAAATGTTTCGGTGCAATATTTTTGAAAAATCTCCCAACTGCGAGAATAAACGTTGAGTATAGTTTGCACGTCTTGTCTTGCGACCAGCTCCTGGGTTGCAATATTGCGTGAAGGCTCTGATCCTGATGCGAAAGGATTCACATGATCTTCAAAATACTGAATCATATTGAAGTCTAACTTCTCGGTTGCATTGACAGTATTTGAAGATAACTCATGATGAGTCATCAATTCATGATTGTCATCTTTGACTCTTGTAATCTGTCGATACAAATTGGTAAACGATCCTACCGCATAAAAGAAAAGACACCCGCCCGCTAACCAATCCTTATTCCGTGTAGACCCAATAATCCCACTGGTACTCTTCTGGACCTCCGTAAAGTTAGCGGGGCAATGGCTAAAAACACCACTTTTTTTTCACCAAAATTAAGTGTTTTTGTGTTTTATTGGTGCTGAAATTAAAAAAATTGTGCTCCAGCCCTTCAGGGGTTTAAGGGTAAGACCATGATTTTCAATGATCGTCGATAAAATTCATATGCCATCATTATGTGCTTTTCACGTGCTCCAAAATGAGGGGTTGAAGGGGGTGAAGGGAGGTAAGGAAAACCCTTTACGCAGAAATACGTATAATGGAGTGTTAAGGGTTGAAAAATCAAAATCAATGTTGATTGCAAGATATCCTACGCCATAATTATGTGCTTTTCACGTGCTCCAAGATGGAGGAAAAAAGATAGGGGACGGAAGCATTTTTTGTGAGGATTCGTATTGAGAGGTTTCAAGGGTTGAAAAATCGCATTCAATATTAATTTAAGAATACTCTGTCATAATTATGTGTTTTAAACGTGCTCCAAGATCAACGCAAAAAAAGAGGGGGTAGGTGGGGGGAAGAGACTTGAAAGTCTCTTCAGCTCACAGTTGTACTGAGAAACCTGAGAATGGATTTTTTTTTTCAAATTCATATTTCGTCCTGGAAAATATGTGTTTTCCATATCCGGTATTAGAAAAAATCGTGCTCCGTTCTTTGCGTACCTATAACCTGAAAATCGACCCGATGTGCCTGAAATATCCATCACATGACCTGAATTGAATTAAAAAATCATGTGCTCTGCGATTAGTACACAAAAATAATTCGTGCTCGAGTCATAATCATAACGGAGGCATCAGGTACCGCTATGACTTTCAGCCCTTAGACAGGTGCCACCATCTTTTTTTTTTCGTTCGCCATTATGTCCCAAAAAATATGTGTCCTTCGTATCTGGTACTCGAAAAAGTCGTGCTCCATTCGGTGCCTACTTATAACCTTGAAATTGATCTGATGTGCCTGAAATATCCATCACATGACTTGAATTGACTCGAAAAATCATGTGCTCTGCGATGAGTACACAAAAATAATTCGTGCTCGAGTCATAGTCATAATGGAAGCATCATCAGGTACCACTATGACCTGCAGTCCTTAGACAGGTGCCACCATCTTTTTTTTTTCGTTCTCCATTATGTCCCAAAAAATATGTGTTCTTCGTATCTGGCACTCGAAAAAGTCGTGCTCCATTCGGTGCCTACTTATAACCTTGAAATCGACCTGATGTGCCTGAAATATTCATTACATGACTTGAATTGACTCGAAAAAGCATGTGCTCTGCGATTAGTACACAAAAATAATTCGTCCTCGAGTCATAGTCATAATGGAGGCATCATCAGGTACCACTATGACCTGCAGCCCTTAGACAGGTGCCACCATCTTTTTTTTTCCGTGCCCCTTTATGTCCCAAAAAATATGGGTTCTTCGTATCTGGCACTCGAAAAAGTCGTGCTCCATTCGGTGCCTACTTATAACCTTGAAATCGACCTGATGTGCCTGAAATATCCATCACATGACTTGAATTGACTCGAAAAATCATGTGCTCTGTGATGAGTACACAGAAATAATTTGTGCTCGAATCATAGTCAGAATGGAGGCATCAGGTACCGCTATGACCTGCAGCCCTTGGGCAGGTGCCACCATCTTTTTTTTTTCGTTCTCCATTTTGTCCTAAAAAATATGTGTTCTTCATATCTGGCACCCGAAAAAGTCGTGCTCCATTCATTGCGTACCTATAACCTTGAAATCGACCTGATGTGCCTGAAATATTTATCACATGACCTGAATTGAATTAAAAAATCATGTGCTCCGCGATTAGTGGGGAAAAATAATTCGTGCTTGAGTTATAGTCATGATGGAGGCGTCAGGTACCGCACTTATGACCTTTTGGCTCTTCGACAAGTACGGGGTGTTATTATTGAGTTTTTTTGGTTTGAAAGTCAGGAATAAATAGTTTTTTTCCCCCCTGTATCTGGAGTAGGACCTTCAGAATTCTAGAGGGAGAGGAGAAAAAGTGGAGGCTGACCTAGAATTGAGTTGATGGTCATTTATAAATTATTGATCAGTATTGAGTTGACTCCCCCTGTATCGGTTGATTAATTCTATTTTTCCCTACCTGTATCTGTAGTTGGAAGTGGTCATTTCACAGGGGGTTGCGGGAGGATTGAAAATATCATAGACTATCAAAGAGTTAACAATTCTACTGAAAATTTTCCAATTCAATTCTCAGTATTGAGTTGAGTGTCTCTGCTTCAAAAATGAATAATGACATTATTTCGATTTGGCGATATCACAGGGGGTGTAGAGAGTGTTGAGGGTAGTATAGAAATGATCAATGAATTGACTTTCAACATAGGAGAGGGTTGAATTTTCTTTTTACCCCCAAATTTTCAAAAATTCATTTGAAAAAAACCGATTACTATCGTTTTTTTTTCAATTATCAAACCTCTTTAAAACATCTACAATGGAAAAAAAAAGAAAAGTCGGAAATTCTCCACCAAAGAGACTGAATAAACGGATTTGAATTTGAGCGGGAAAATGCTGCTAGGGAGTTCACTGCCACCTAGGGAGAATTTTTGGCATTTGGAAACACTGAAACGCTTTCATTGTTCTTGACTTCCCCTGTATCGTTCAGTTTCAGGAAGAGTGGTCATGTGATTTCGAGACACAATCACCATGACATAACCTAAACAATCCAATAGTTCCTCCGTCAGTTCAGTATCCTGTATCACAGAATTTCACATTCGTTCAAGAGAATCAGCGAGGTTATCAATCGTTTTCATTCAAGTATTTTTGTGTTACGATGTCAAGTGATGAATCACAGTCAGGTGATGAACGGTCACGAAAAAAACAAAAAAGAAAAAGAGGAAAATTGCCAATACTTGATCCTAGAGACATGAATCAAGTATTCATTGACGGAAAAAAGGAAATTATTATTGAGAAGGATGGCAAACCCAAGCTCACTTCAAAAAACGAACAAATATGAAAAGAAATTGCAGAGATTGTGAATGCGCAAGTAAGAGCAAAAACTCGTGAAAAGGGAGGGGATATGAAACTCAAAACGACTGATGCTATGTACACATATGTTTCATGCAACTGAAATGGCTTTAAAGATATTTTGTTGGCCCCGTGGACTAATATCAATCAGGAAAAGGCCGTCCCCAATGAAGATGTCTCGATACATCTCTTGGATAATTCCACTTTGGATATTTCTAGTAGATCCACCGAGTCAGTTTTCACGATAACCATACAAGTGCCGGCGTCCGATTTTGAGACCTTAATAACTGAACGTGAGAGAGTCATCAAGAGGAAAAAGAAACCGGTGATATATAAAAGAAAATATATCAAAGAAAGTAAGTTCCGTCTGTTTACAATCAGTATACGAAATTGCTAAACATTAAATGAAGAAACACTTCACTATAAATTCGATCAATTCTGTGATGATGTTGATTCGTCTTGCACATTTAGAGTAATATGGTCATGAATTGAAATCCAAAATTATTCGATACTTTTGAAGAATTACGAGAAAGCCGATTTTATTCGCATTCTATATTTGTAACTACATCAGTTGACTGGTTTGTTATTTGAAAAATTTCATTCGAATGAAGCTAATTGTTTATGAATTTTTACGATTTTCTCTCAAGGAATTTAATATAGAATTTAATGATTCAAAATCTTCAAATGTACAGTGTGTTGACTACAAACCTATAGGTGATGACCATACTACTTTAACTCATTGAGTAGCGAACTGACAATTGTATTCTGAGAATGTATAGTAAGTTGAATGTAATAATAAAATACTCATTTCACATATTCGATTGTTGTCTACAGGAGAATGTGAGACGTACATCAATGATATGGTTAAGAAAGATACTCGCAGCAGCTGCGACTACAAACTTGACACATTCAGTCTTGATTCAGAGGACGATAATTATGGTCACCTAAGAGGCTGGTCCCAAGTGCAAGTTACAAATTGATTGTTATATACGTAAGAAAAACTCGATCATTGAGATAGAATGTCAGATGACGAGTGAAAAATCTGGACTGAGGTGTGGTATGCGGTCAACTCGCGCAGCTCAGCCTCCACCCCGAAAAGCAGGGTCAGAAAAACTGGAAGGGTCTGATGTTGAGAATAACGATAAAAGGCAAGGATTGGATAACGAATTTGCAGATAAAAATTGTGTCTTACATGAAGATCCCATCTATGCATTACAATTATTAAAAACTTTCAAAATGCGAGCAGACATCTCAATTATTCAACCAGAGCCAGTAATGATTTGCTACTGTTCTCTACATCAGCAAACTCGTTATCGAAAAATGAATTCCAATAGTGATTTGCGTCTAACGATAAATGGTAGTGAATCAATCATTGAACCAATCCGAGGACCTGTTAATGAATCTGGGTCTATTGCATATTACCATGTTGTCGCGGCAACCGACACTGGCCAAGTAAGTTTGACACAGATGCTGTCAGAAACAAAAGAAACTTATCGTACTGTAAGCTGGCTAAATAAGTGGGTCCACGATAATGGATTGACAGTTCCAAGAGAAATTGTGACCGATGGTAACAGTTATATTACAGCTGCATGTATACGTGTATTTGCAGGGCTTCAAGATATGCATAAGTATGTCAATTCATTTTTTGACAGCACACTCAAACTGCATTGCTCAGTGAGGATTGATGCGGCATTCATTCTCCGTAGATATACGACATTATTTGCAGCAGTTGAAGATGAAGAGGCCAGGAAACAATACGCAGCTAGTATTGGCAAATTGATATTGTGTCAGACTCGAGAAGACGCTGAGGAAGTGATTCGAGCACTCTTCACAGTTGCTACCAGTTGTCATGATGGTGTAGGAGAAAACGGTATTCTCTCAACGAGTACAAGTCAACAGAGCGTCCTCCGTCAATTATCGTTTGAAAATATCTGCAAACAGCTTCAAATATCAGAAAACGATTTACTCGCCAACAGTCATGAAACCTGCGACAACCATGGTTCATTAATCGACGAAGGTGGTGAAAATGAATGGTTTCGCTGGAGTGAGAGGCTTCACGCTTCTTCTACAGATGCCGTCGCACAATTCCCTGGAGATATTTTGAGGATGAGCCCTTATTGGCTGGAGAGCCTACCGCAATTTCTCATAGAAGATCTAAAATGGTTGCCTCTTTGGAGTTCTGTTGCCTCAATAACAATTATTTCAATTGCACAGCCGGCCCTTGTCACCCCAGCACGAGAAGAAGTACGCAAAATAATGAAATTATTTTCAAGCACAGACTTACCAATTAGGGCAGATGTTTTCATTGAGACACACAAGAGTTATATCGATGGTAATCAGGATAGGGTCAACCCAGTGTGCGACGATGACATGAATTATGTGGTATCTGATGAAGACCTTCTGGAGGACAAAAATGTGTCGACAACTGATCGAGGCTATTCTGGGAGTTCAAGTGATCACCAACTCCAGAATGAATCACCAGGAAATATCGATGGAGACGACAGTGTTTCAAGTGAGGACGAAAATGATTCGATTGATGAGACCATGGATGTAGCAATGCAAGAAGAGAATGAAGAAGAGTTCTGTAGTTTTCATGGTAACGATCGCAACGAAAGCGCTGAACAGGAGATTAATCATAATCATATAGATATTGATTCGCCTGAAGATAATGAAATGGATAAGAATGAACAGATCTCCGGACATAATGCTGAACAATATGATGATGAACCTATATTGTTCAATAAGCCAAGTACAACTCCTACTTCTTCGGCCCCTACTTGTTGTTCGTGTGACGGTGCTATCGTTTCACGGAAAATCTCCCTGTGTTCGGTGCGTGGAACTTGATCTTTGAATTTTAAAGAATAGAATGTGAATTTGGAATTTATCTTTCGTTGTGAATAATTTCATGGTTCATTATTTCATGTGTCATTTCAGAATTGTGCCAGACCAGTCCATGGAGAGGAAACCTGCTCCATATCCATTGAAGGGAGAAAAGAAGATCATAGAGGCAATCGTTTATGTTTGACGTGTTCTGCGCAGTCTAACATTGCTCCATTAATCGATTCTCAAGCTCGTGAAAACTGGAAGAATAAAACAGTCACCCACGAAGTAAAAACAAAACAGCTGGAGAATAGATTACAAACCATAACACCAGCAATAAAGGCTGGAAATATGAATAGATTGCGTACCTTTCGAATTGGAGACAAGGACATCGATATAATCTGGGCATGTCCCTTCGACAGCCTGTTCCAATTAGTTTTATCAGCAGCAGTTCAATCGAAGAGTTTCTTGATGAATGTTGTTAATAAATATGATCGACATAATCTTTTCTTAGATTTGATCAAAGACACACAACAAACACGAGCCATTACTAATCGAACACTACAGAAAAGATATGAAATTCTAATTCAACACTTCTCGCTAGAAGAACGCAAATGTTCTACCAAATACAAATATGTGCTCAAGTGTGATGGATCTGTAAGAGACATGTGTGAAAAACTCTTCGAGGGTGTTGGTTGCTTTGAGGAGCAGCTTCTGTGTGATATGGGTTGTCCTGAGCGTAAAGAATATTCATGTCTCTATTCTGTATCATTGCGGACGTTGATGAGTGGTAATTGTCAACTAATTGAGGAGGAGATTATGGCAAGGAGAAACTGTAGGAATGTAAATGATAAGGGAGAATGTGATGGTACAACTTCGAGTACTCTTCTCGTGAAAAATGATTTCTTATGGTTTGAGCTGTGGTCTGCATTTGAGCCTGATGATCAGGTGTTGTTGGAACAAAATTGCTTGCACAACAAGGCGTCGCATCGTTACGATATAAGACACGATACTCTCAAATCAGGAAACACATCGGTTCACCCGAATTTCATTATGTATGCAAAATTACGTGAAGAATCATGATTATCTTCTACTGCAAGCAACTTTGTAAACGTTTTGACAGGTATTAGAACGAAGAAATGGGACAAAAAGTATGTCTACATTTAGACAAAAAATATATGTGACTCTTCGATACATGTGTTATTATGAATCATAATTCAAATTATACTGTGTTTTTCGATTTCCAATTTTATTATAGTTGATATTGAATGGGCATCGTTATTGTAGTATTTTGGTGAACTTATTATATTCATAGTGATTGAATAAAAAATAATATATCGAACATTTATCGTCATTGACATTCAACAATCAATCCCGGTAAATAATTCATCTCCCGAAATTTTGAAGCACCAACACTCAATTTAACGTTGATTAATGATTTATATGATTATTCAAATAAGCGTCAAATTGTTGACAATTCCTACGTGATTCCCAACCATTTTCCCACCCCCCCTGAAATTTGCAAGACTCCACCACCGATATGGGGGTTGGAATTCGATTTTTTTCTAAATTTTGGAGCAGAGACACTCAACTCAATACCGATTAATAATTTATATGATTATTCAAATAATCAACGTCAAATTGGTGACAATTTCTACGGGATTCCCAACCCATTTCCCACCCCCTCTGAAATTTGCAAGACTCCACCACTAATATGGGAGTTGGAATTCGACTTTTTTCTAAATTTTGGAGCAGAGACACTCAACTCAACACCGAATAATATTTTATATGATTATTCAAATAATGAACGTCAAATTGTTGACAATTCCTACGGGATTCCCGACCCTTTTCCCACCCCCTCTGAAATTTTCAAGACTCCACCGCCAATATGGGGGTTGGAATTCGATTTTTCCTAAATTTTGGAGCAGAGACACTCAACTCAACACTGATTAATAACTGATATAATTATTAAAATAATGAACGTCAAATTGTTGACAATTCCTACGGGATTCCCAACCCTTTTCCCACCCCCTCTGAAATTTTCAAGACTCCACCACCAATATGGGGGTTGGAATTCTATTTTTCCTAAATTTTGGAGCAGAGACACTCAACTCAACACTGATTAATAACTGATATAATTATTAAAATAATGAACGTCAAATTGTTGACAATTCCTACGGGATTCCCAATCCTTTTCCCACCCCCTCTGAAATTTTCAAGACTCCATCACCAATATGGCGGTTGGAATTCGATTTTTCCTAAAGTTTGGAGCAAAAACTCTCAACTCAATAGTGATTAATAGTTTTAAAAAAAGATCCAAATGGTCAACTCGTCGCCGATTTCAATGTCATCCTCAACCCTTTCTTCACCCCCTCTAAAATTCTCAAGTTTCTATCATCAACACGGGAGGAAAAATACTATTCTTTCCGAATTTCGCTACAAAACACTCCCCTTATTACTAATAATCAATTCATAAAATCATCCATTTCATAAATATCAACTCTCTAACTGTTTCTATGTCATCTGCAATTCTCCCTGCACCTTTCCGAATGCTCAAGTCCGGGGGGGGGGGGGGCAACCCANCGGGGGGGGGGGTGGCAACCCACGCTTCATACTGTTTAATTTTTTCGACTTACCGATTCAAGTGTTGAGAAAGTATGTGTTTATTTTCTCTTTGATGCTGAAACTCGAGCACTTAGCTGGGATTAGAATGAAAATTTCAAGACAATCAACCAATGACAATACACATATTTTTATTCATTCGATTTATTGAGTATTTGACTTTATGCAAGTTCAATACTCTTCGTACATAAATCAACTAAACTACAGTAGGTTCAATGTCTATAACTTTGAGTACAATGAAGCGTCAATCTCGAAGACCAGCTCGACTGATCACCTCTCCTGTCTTCGTAACTTTTACTCAAATATAGAAACTCATATTACTGTTATGCTTCAAAATATCTGAATGTATAAACAAAGTCTATAAACTTCGAGGGGATAGTAACGCATTGCAACCCTATTTTTCTATCACACCCACTTCATTACACTTTTTCCCCGCTTCACTCTTCAGTAACGAAACAAACAGATTCAAATATGCTAAGTCTATGAAATATTTCTAGAAAATATCCATTTATCACATATCTATTATTCCATTATAATTCTGTACTCAACTATTCAAAATGGATAAACTTTCTACTTAGATTTATTGTTTTTAACAAATCTTTTCGTTATCACATTGACCAGTGATGACTAGTACCCTATCTCTCATTAAATCAGTTTTATGCATTATAACGATTGACTCTTGACATAAATACAAAAGTAGTGATTGTCTTTTGCCTTTGTTTCATGGTTCTCTTTGCATTGTTACCACCGGTGATATCACACTACAAAATTCGTCCATCGACTCGCAATTCAGTGGGGGAAAGTTTTGTCTCTGTATCATCATGTTCATTACGTGTTTGTTTGCCGCAGCACCTAATGAACACAATGTCTTACAACGTTTCGGGTTACGGAGTTGAGTCACATCACAAAAACATTCAGGTAATTCAAGTAGGAATCGAGCTATCCCTTTCCTGGTTATGGCTAATACTTTTCTATCAATCTTCGTATTTGAGTGGCGTACTATTTTATACCCCCATAAGCACATTTCCACACCCGAGTCGTGCTCATCGACACCAATCTCTGCTATTTGATCTTCGGAAACGCAGGAGGTGTGCAATCGCCATTTCGTCCACATCTCAAATGCCTTTCTTGCCTCTCGAAAACTGCGGAAATAATTGCAAACATTGACGATTAAGTTTGCCGGAAGGGATCCATCATTAGAATTGAAATAGACTATCAAGGATTGCTTGAAAAACAGGACGAGTAAGGTCCATCGCCCATTATTATGTCGAAAAGGCAATAGCCAACCGTCACAATCGTTGACTGTCATACCCTGATGCCAATTGATGAATTCTTCTGTCTGAATATTGTTCTCCAAACATTTGGTGATTTCTGACGGAAAACTGCGTACCTGGAGATCGTTTCTTCTAGCCACTACTTCGAGTGCAGAATAAAAAGTATCTACTATCTGTGGAACGATAGGCTTGTGAGGCATCAAGGATTCGAGGTGTGAGCCAGTTAAGGTAATATTAGCTATGTTTTTTGTGTTACAAGGAAATTCAGTAGGATACGAAAGATGAGGATGACAAAAACGTACTCCAGCATCATTTGTGAACACATCATAGTTGCGATTAGAAGGATTGTTGTTCACTGGAAGATGCTCTGTCGGTGCTTCAGTTGGCTGTTGCTGATTAAACTCTTCTGGTTTATTTGCAATATTGGGCAGTGATGTTGCTGGAGGGTTTTTATCAACCCTATCTTTAAGGCAGTCGCTCTCATCTCCGGTCTGAGCTCCAACAATGATAGGGCAATTCAGCTTAGTTATTTCACCAACCTTGGGCTCCTGAAATTCGTCGAGTTTTGTGGAAGTTGAGGGTATTTGGCAATCGCCAGTATCTATATATATGGGAAAGTCGTTCTTATCATTAGTTCCCGGCTGGAGAGCATCGGATCGAATCTGCTCAAATATCAATGGACGTTGAGAGTCTGAAAATGGTGGACCGTCTGTTGGTACTTCCAAAATCTTAGATTCCTGGGATGGTTCAGGAGTTTTGCTTGCAACAATAACATCCTCGGTGTTTCCCTTATTGATCTCGATATTTTGATCGTTGACATCAGCATCGCCATTGGCGTTGTCATTCTGCTCATTTCCTATCTGAAGGTTATTATGAATATTGACATCTTCATCGTTAACAATATTCTCTTCATCATTGTCGACATTATCTTCATTGTTGTCAACATTGATATGTTCATCGTTTTCGTCGTCGTTCGGGATATTCGGGTCGTTGTTCTCAGCATCATTATGGGCCTGATCATGATCCTGAAATATTTGTGCCTCTTCGTATGCGGGTCTCACTGTATGTAGTTTGCGGAAAAAAGTATCGTGACAGCTCCTAGTGTAGTCTTCAATTAGTTTTGGGGTAGTATAGGTGAATAATCTCTCATAGACCATTAGCCAAATTGTCCTTTCACGACTCTCCCCGAGTCTATAAGCTTTCACTTCTGGCAACTCCACCAATTGTTCAAAAGGAACCCGTGGGTAAAATTCAGCAAGAATTTTACCAAGTTGGGAGACATCTTGGACGAGTGCATTCGATCCTCGTTTTCCTTTCGAATGAATCTTTCTCTTCATGTTTGCGAGTCGACAGATCGGCTTTAGTATCAACTACATAAATATGAAAATCATCTCGAAGCACGTAACATTAGATAAATAAAAGAGTGATGAAGCTAGTAACGAATTGCGCGTGAATATGAAACATAGGTTAAACAGAACATAAAGAAATTGGGTATATGGACACTAAATTAAAGAGAAAAAAAAATCTAATAATAGTACATATTGATTTTTCTATGGAACCTACGCATGACATGCTTCTAAAAGACATGGGCTGATTAAGATGGCATGAAGATGATAAAGAAAGGAGTTATTCTAGCAAGGCAATTCAACTTTCCTACGAAAAAATAGCGTCGGTTAACTCAATATTAGGAAAATATTCGATATAACGATATAGACAATGATCTAACTCATTTTACCACATGGAGAGAATACTCTGATGAGCCCAAAATCTATATACAGGAGCTAATCAAAAGATTATGCTCATTAAATGGACTTGAAACTAGAAAATTGTAACAACAGAGATATCAATAAGATTATCATTAAAGTGGAACTGATATCACCAGGACGTAATGAAATTGAATACTAATAATTCGTCGTATTTTTCTGCACTCTTCAATCCATTATTTGCTGATGGCATCTGGTAATTTACCAAGCGTTCTTGCTGGGACGAGATTCCGAACGAGTGGATCACCAAAACTAGCTGGAGTACCTGATGACGCTGAAGTTAGCAGCCGACTTGGCAGCAGAACAGGGGCGTATCATGATCCCCTGGGGCCCAGTGCACACATGATTCAAAAACCGGGGTAAAAATCAATTATCGAGTTCGGAAAATGTTCAGACACTACCCCTCTGCATTCATGAAGATTCTTACCCCTCTGGAACCATTACTTGTTGATGTTTGAGGGGTGCAAAAATTGATTTTCCTTGAAATGAAAGAAAAAAAAATTGTTGGCTCCAAAACACTCAAAACCACCAACAAATTTCCATTGAAAGATATTAGGAAAGACCCTCAACCCCCAGCAAAATAATCAAGTCTTTCAGAGTGGTCCACGGAAGTGCAAGGAGGTGAAAAAATGGAATTTTCGCGTATTTCAGGGGGAAAAAAAATCTCCAACTACTAATAAGCAAAACCACCAACAACTGTTGATGAAAAAATACTCAGTGCAACTCC